ACGATTAACACTAATTTATGCTATTTAACGTGTCGGGATTACTTTTTGGATTAAGACCACCGTATTGTACCAGAAAGCTTTGTTTCAACGTGTACTGTTTTAGTGTTATATTTTTACACTAATGACAATGTGTTCAGTTTTTTGGTGGTTTACCTTAATTCTTTCATGTGTATGACCCAGTTTTTGCGCGTAATCGTCCCATTTTTTTTGAACAGTATAAAAGAACGAGAACCAAACCAACGATTGATCGTTGTCTGACAATTTGACTTTGATTGACGACGTCCTTTTTATGAGTGTGAAACAACTGTTTTATGCAACCCTCGACACACCGTGTAGTAATCTGTTTTACATGTTTTCCGAGGAACCCACGAGAAGTTCAACAAATTATGTTTATATTTCTACAATTATTATGAAGGTTTGTAAAAGTCTTAACAAAGAAAGGTTGAGTTCAACGGACTTGTCTCTTTCTGTAAACAAATAGTAGAGTGTGAGTGAGTAGTACCTTACATTACAAGCGTACTAATATGTATAAGAAAGGAGATCTTACTAAGGTAAAGGTATGTCTGCCGTGGACTGACGTCCTGTGGACGCCTCATTGGCTTCCGGCGAGAACTGCCTATATTAGATGGCAGAGTGTTTTTGTGATGTACTTGTTCTACACGGTGTATAATTGGTTTTTATATCGTATGGTAAGATGTGTTTGTGTGTTGTGTGTTGTGTGTCGTGATTGTTTTTTTGTGTGTAGTTTTATGTGTGTGTGTGTGTGGTTATGTTGTTGTGTTGTGATGTGTGTTGTGTGTGTGTGTGTGTGTTGATGTTAGTGGGATTGAAAAGGTTGTACTGTCTTTTTCGCGTTTTTACTACGTTGTTTACTAATGAAGAACGATCTTTATGATGCAAAGTTAGCAGTGTGTTCTGTATAGAGGAAGATTGTATGTAATGGCTGTAACTCAATTGTTTTCTTGTAGGGAGCTTTTATGTTAGACCGACTATAAACCAAAATGAGGGTCGTTTAGTCCATACAAAAATATTTTAGTAAAGAAGAACTGTGTAAATGAGGTTATACGTTCAAACTCAGGCAGGTGTTCTTTGCCGAATTTATTTTGTGGAAGTACAGTTAGAGTATGTTCGGGACCCGGTCCCTGATGGAGTGTGGATTGGATGTAGACTTACTTTTCCGTTTGTGAGAAGTATAAGGAGGTAATTGACTAGGAGTAAAGATGTCGGCCCGTTCGTGGCGTTTCAATAGTTAATAAATATTTAGTAAGGAGACTCTGTTTATGATGACCAACTAACATCAATGTAACTCAACTCCTGTTGTGTGATAAGTTCGTACGTAGGAGGTCGATTAAAGTTATAAGTTAAATCGTACGCGCACCAGTTAAGGGATTTAATTGTCGTCCAATGGAATAGTGCTGTAGTAGAGTCGGAGTTCATCGTCATGAAGTTGAGGTACTTGGTGTATGGTTAGCTAACTGAGGAATTTTTCTTCTTCGTATTGACGAGCAAGGTCTTCGTCAAAGATTGTGGTCCTAGTAGTCATGAAAATGTTTTGTGTGGTGTCGTGTGTGTGTGTGTGTGGTGGTGGGTGGTGGTGTGGTGTGTGTGTGTGTGTGTGTGGGGTAGTGTGTGGAGCAGCTGTGTCGAGTGAAGAAGTAGGGTATTGTCGAGGAGTGTGGGAATTTGCAAGAATGGTATGGTAGTCATAGTCATAGGTAGGTCCCATGGTGTAAGTAAGTGAGGTGCCACAATTACGAAAACAACATAATCGAAAAAAACGATTATCTTGCTTTGCTAGGTTGTGACAGTGCACTGCAACATATTTGATCTTATATTTATATATGTTTAGTAGCTTGTTGAAGTGAGCACCAACATATTTGTTGATCTTGTTAATTGGAATTTCTTATCTTTGATATTATTTATTTAAATGTAAATATAAATGTATCATTTATTTTATTTATTTTTGTATTAGTTTTTCAGTTTAATTATACGTTCAGGGTAATCAACAGTTAAAAAGATATTGTTCAAATTATTATTTGTTTTAAAGTTCAATAAATAGATGTTTTCAAAGTCAATGAATAGCCGTATTTAATCATTGTGATATCAATTATTGGCCAAAATAGAGTTTTCATCATCAAAAATGGCGAACATTTTGGTTGAACGTCTCTGTAAAAGGTGTAATCTTAAGAGCCAATCTGAGTGACAACATGTTTAAATATTTTCCCTGTAAAATCTGCTCTTATAATACATCATCCTCTAGCAACTAGGGCATATCAAATGTATTTTATAATTATTATGTCACGTGTGGCTTCTGCATTACGCTAGCTATCTGTGTGTTTGTGCCTCTTACTGGGGGCCGGACAGTTCTTGTATATTTTGACAGTTTGTCTAATGGCTTATGTCCTGTCTAGAAGGGGTGAAGAAACCACTCGCGTTTTCAATTCGTCCTCCCCTCCGACAGGAGACTCTGCAAAACATAAAGTCAAAACTGAAAAAAAGTCAAATGGCCCCTGCGTTCAAATTAAATTGAACAAATAATGCTAATATAAATTAAAATGAATTTCACAAAGCTTATTCTCTATCATCCATTTCCCTTGGGGCATGAAATTAAGCTTGGTTCTGGGAGGATGGAGGTCAGCAAATATGAATTTCATTGCCTCTCAGAAAGCAACTCTAATTGTATTTGCAGGTTATCAAACATCAGGGCCTCTTCACTGCCTCTGACCGATACTGCAGACAACAATTGCTAGATGAAACTGACTAAATCAAGTGGGACAGAAAATATAATAATGTATTGCAAGAAGAAGTGTCTAGAACTATTCGAATAATATTAGCATTCAACAAATTCAAAATAATATATACAACCAGCACTGTACTTATCTCCTTTAACCCTGCCTGTGCACTCACTTCCAGACACACAGCCTGTTCTGCTGATTTTGTTTAGTATTTTCCTCCCCATCCAAGTAAGAAACAACATTCATCTTGCAAGAAAGGTCAATCGCACCTTCTCTCTCAGATTTGCTCAATATTAGTGAGTATAGCATTTTAGGGAACAACTACATGGCAACACCTATCTGATCCCTGCACTGGGAAAAGTCTTACTAAATTCCACTTTGGCAACAAGCATTCTGTTTCACACTAATTGACTTTGACTCTCAGGGCCTCTGTTACAGATCCTGCCTTCTGCCTGATCATTAATCTGTCTGAGTGTTTGCAGCTGTGTGTGTTCTATGTAAATGAGCTGTGCGGTTGCCCTCATGTCATTGGCTGCCATCTCCTGGTCCGCCCCTGAGGATTGTGATTGGAGCACGCCGGGCCTGATGCACTCCAATCGCAGCGCCCAGCCGGCGCACACCTGCTGGAGAGTACTACAAAGCTTGGGGACAATGATCACTCTGGAGGCTCNAACAGACGCCTCTCGGTATTTGTTCGTCATTCTGTGCTTAACTTGTGTGGTCTTAGTGATTGTGATAGATTCTGTTAACAGGGGTTAACTCGTGGGGGGTTAGTTTTGTGTAATAGTTACCTCAGCTGTGTTCCCTTACAGCTTCCCGTAGTTAGATTGTACCACTTTGATAGTGAGGGTTTTAGTTGTTATTATTACCTATTTTCTTTGTATGTACACAGGCTCCTTTTTAGAGTCCTCTATTAGTTTGGTTGCCTATTTAAACTTGCTTCCTTGTGGCCTCTTTTGTTTATTTAAACCGGTGTTGTGGTAATTTGTTTGTTACAGGCTGCTTGCCTGCCATTTTGTTTACTTTGCTGTAAAAAATAAACCACTTATAATTATACCAATCTGGTTGTGTTGCTTCCCTCTGATTCCCCTAGCTCAGAAGGGAACGTAATAGTTGGAAAGAGCTGGCCTTCCCACTATATTTAAACTTGCCCATTCCCTACCTGTTAAGCTGTGTGCTTTGACCCCATCCACGCTGCTATGCATCCTCTGATCTGTACTATCTCACTCTCTATTCTTTACACCACCTAGCTAGCCCATTGGACTGTGTTTGGTCTGGATCAAAAATACTGGACTTATCAGTATGTTCTTTTCTTTTGGTATATTGGTATGTTGGACTTGAACATGATTACATTTGTGTTGAAGCTAGGGTAGGTAACATATGAAATACCAGCAAGAGTAAACTATCCAGCCAAAACCCTTCCAAATGTTGCCAACTCTTTTAAAATAAAAGCAGCAAGCATCACTGACAGGCCGTCTCTTCTGGCCTCCCTCCAAAGCTCTTTCTCATCATTTTCCTTATGGATTGAAACATAATGTAAAGTACAAAATAAACCAACCTGGCTATTGTTTGTACTCAAAACTATCAAGCTAGCACATTGTTGAAGCCTACAGGCAGAGTGTGAGCAGGGAGACAGGCAGGTCCGGCTGTCCAATAGCTTTATTCGGGTTGAATACAATTATTGGCCTAGTTACAGTCCTGCAACATTTGAATTCTTTGATTGCTGTCGGGATGTAAAGAGTATTTTAACAGATAAAACAAAAATAAGTATTATCAATACCCAAGGTTTGAACCCTGTGACAACAAATGGGTCCAAGATGTCTCTTGAATTGCCTCTCAATAAGTTTCTTCATAGGAATTTTGGAGGGTGTTTTTTTTCTTGTTTTCTTTCAAAGCATTTCTAATGTCAGCTTGTAGAGCCCTTTGGTTCAATTTAAGATAAGCTGTACAGATAAACTTGGCTTGATTTGATTTCTAGAGACAAAGTAATACATATAGTGGAACAAAAACATGATATTGTGTTACCTCATATATAATCCTCTGCACAAGGTCAAACTCTCCCTCTAAGGAAGCATCCAGCAGTAGAGCCAGAGGGTTAAACTTCACTCTCAGCCCGTGGCCCGTTCGCTCTGATGACGGTTTCTTTAGGTTAGTTCGCTTCACCTGCAGCACACAGGGAGAACAAAAGTGTTGACGGTGCAGAAAATGAATTGCTAAGTGTGCACTAAGTGCTAAACTTGACACATTAGCCTTCACAGAGAACAATTACTTAGGTTTAGGTTATTGGTAAAATAATATACAAAGCAGAAGCTTTATCTTCGATATCAGGTGTAATTACAATCTATGCCTATTGCCTACCTTAGGTTTTGAAGGGGGGGCAGGAGGGGATGTTGATGGGGATGAGTGGCCTACAGAGCCGTGTGCAGGACTTGATCCTTTCTTGTTGTTGTTCTGGTCCTCCGGCCTATCAGGTGCAGAGGGCGGGCTGGAGCGGGTCGGTGGTGACACGTTTTTGGTCGTTTCTGCTTTTGCTGACGTCTCTTTGGGTGTTTCTATGGCAACAGAAGGGGGGGACAAGCGGCGAGAGCCCGAGTTCAGGTTTTGGACCTCCCCCTCGGCGGTTGCCGTATTCACGTGCTTGTCTCCAGGTTTTACAATCCCATTGGATGAATGGATGTTGTCCACTTCACCCAAAGTGCAGTCAGGCTGGTAGAAGGTATTACCTGCAATTAAGATAAAGAAACAACTGACCATCAAAATCATTAGGATCACTGAGAAACATTACACAGACCAACTGAATCCAACTGGCCAAAAGGTGTTGCGTGTTACAGTACATTTTTGTAGTGGCCAAACGGATGTACTACAACTTCTGTTTCAGTCACCTGGTGCCTTTGGGCCCCAAAAGACACTAGACTTATTGGGAAAGAAATGTTTTAAGTCATTAGCTTGGTGAGCAATGCGCTAGAAGTTGAATCCAGAGTTATTATTCCCTCTCTGTTCTTTTCACTGAGCTGAAACCAGTCGTAACAGAGCCAAATGGAGGCGGGGCTTAAAGAAAACGCAAGTGAGCAGGGCCCAGATCCCCTGGTAATTAGTGTATTTCAGTACTCGAGTGAATAAACAAGGCCCCGCCCTCCAGCGCTGTATCCAGTTTCATTGAGGCAAGGCAAGGCAATTTTATTTATATAGCACTTTTCAGCACGTGGCAATTCAAAGTGCTTTACAGATTAAAAGCAAAAGACATTTAAGAACAAATACAGCATAAGTACATTATTAAATGGCATTTAAAAACAGATAATGAAATAAAATAAATAAATAAACACAGTAGGTACAGAATACATGACTAAAAAAGGCATACTGTAGTGTGAGTATGAGCAGTTCAATTAAAAGCAGCAGCAAATAGGTGCGTTTTTAATCTGGGTTTAAAAATAGGAAGTGTTTCAGCTGACGTGCACGATTCGGGCAGTTTGTTCCAGATTGTTGGGGCATAATAACTAAAAGCTGCTTTTCCATGTTTAGTGGTTATTCTCGGAACAGAGAGCAGACCCGACCCAGAAGACCTGAGACTCCTCGATGCTTCATAGTGATGGAGGAGGTCGTCTATATACCTTGGTCCTAAACCATTTAGTGATTGAAAAACTAGAAGTAGTATCTTAAAATCAATTATTTGGCAGACTGGAAGCCAGTGTAATGATCTCAGAACCCGAGTGATTTGAACCACTTTTCTAGTGTCAGTGAGAATTCGGCAGCGTTCTGAATCAGCTGCAGCTTTCTGATAGATATTTTTAGTGAGCCCTTTGAATACACTATTGCAGTAGTCCAGTCTACTGAAAATAAAAGCATGGACAAGTTTTTCTAAATCCTGTTGCGACATTAGTTTTTTAATCCTTGATATATTCTTCAGGTGATAGTATGCCGACCTAATAACTGTTGTAATGTGACTGTTGAAATTCAGGTCTGAGTCCATCACTACACCCACATTTCTTGCTTTGTGAGTTACTTTGTGAGGGAAGGCCATATTATCGAATCAGGTTCTTACCTGAGCCTCCTTCCATGCCTCCTGCCAACGTGTTGAACCTGCAATAGACAACACAAAATAAGTTTTAATAAGGGTGCTGCAACCTTGATTCATCGTCAGAGAGTAACTGTTTCATATCAGTTTCATAAAAAAAAATAGTTTTCACCATTCCATTAAAGAATTAGAGCTAATAGATTAATATTACATATCATCCATCACTCATGTTTTTCTTTGATTGATCAAATCCTTCTAAACATATGCTACCTGTTTTTCTTCTTTTCTCCTAAATGTGTGGTCTTAACCGTAAGAGAACATCCAGGATTCTATGTCCATAAATGCACCACCTTAATATTGAGTTTTTCACTGAATATGACCCCCTCCCCTGCTCAATGTAATAAACCTTTGTAAGAGCACAGACCTCTGGTATAGAAGTTTTTGGATGTTTGGCCCCTGGGGACCCTCAGGCTCAGTGATGGAGCTGCGTTTCTTCAGGGGCCGCGGGGCATTGCTGAGGCGTCGTCGCAGAACCTCCAGGTCAGCATCGCTCTGGTAACGCAGCTGGGAGTGGGCTGTAGAGGGCAAAGGATTATGGGATTATGTATTCTTTGTTATTAAAACTTAATTGGAGGTCTTTGTCTTCAAATTTAGAACAAAACATTTTTTTTCCAATGAAATAATCGCAAGAGAAATAAACCCTTCAATTAATGATAGAGAAAGTAGTGTTGCATTTTCACCCCTTACCCCTTATTTGCATTAGGCTTTTCACAGATTTCTACTTGATTTACACTGCAGCATGGCAGCACAATGATCAGTGCCATTTACTCTCTGGAACTTACCGACTGGGGTGAGCTTTGTGGGGCTGAGGGGGCGAGGGATGTTGTCCACAGTGGGTTGGGGGAGGATTTGCCCATCAGTACTCTCTCCTCCTTTCCCTCCTTCTTTATCTGTTACATCCTCTCCTCCTGCTTTTACTCCTCCTCCTCCCTGGAGGAAAGGGACAGGGGACGGATTGGTGGAGGAGGTGGGGAGGATAGGTTTACCGTAGACTGTGGAGAGAAAATAAAAATTAGGTAGTTGTTAGATGAATTTTTAATTCTGGACATTGAAACAACATAGGTGGAGGAATGAATCCTAAAACCTGGAAACGAGTGCATTTTAGCACTTCGTAGTCAATGTTTTTTACAATGTGTTTTTAAGATGCCTGAAATAAGATCTGTGGTTAACAAAATAGTTTTGCTCAACATTGTAAAAAACGTCAGTAAATAACAACTTGGACTACTAATTGTCATCACACCAAACGTTAGCCGCCTTTAGCTTAGCTTTGGTGATGCGCAGCCATGCGACTGATGTCGTTTCTTTAAAGCCTAACTTTAGCTCTTTATTCCTCACGATTGCATTTTGGTTAAAAAAATCACAAAGAGATGTTCAAATATGGAGATTATCCTGCTGAACAAAATGTTAAGTATCACGTGTGTTTACCAAAGATCTTTTTCTTTAACAATATATCAAATATCCAATGCAAAAATCCCATTGCTTATTGTTATGGAAACCATGGAGATGCTAACTTTGTGGTCGGCCTACAAAAATACATTATTAGAACACCACTCTATTTAAATAACATTATATCTATTTGCAGTACAATGTGTGTACAAACCATTTGTTTGCCTTAGCTGAAAATGTAGGGAATTGGCTTGGCAACCAGAGGTTCATCGTTTCAATTTCCCGTTATGACCAAGTACGGAGTGTGGACAGGTGCTTTGAGAGGTGCCAGTTCCCCTCCTGGGCACTGATGAGCTGCCTTTACGCAAGGCACCAAAACCCCATACTGCTTCCTGGGCGCTGTGTATATAGTAGCTGCTCCTAATACTAGGGTGGGTTAATGCTGAGGCTAGATTTAACTGTGTGTGCGGTGCTGTGTACATGTGTGACGATTAAACAGGGATACAATGAATCCCGTCCATGAATCTGCTGTTTAATTACCTGCTTTGACAGTAGTCCTGTTGCTCAGAGACCCATAGTTCTTGGCCTGCGGCTGCTGGAGGTACATGCTGTAAATGGAGCTGCTGTTCATGGTGGCGGGGCCCTTCCTCGGAGACTGGGGCCTGGAGGGATGGTCCGGGACGTACGGACGAACGGCCACCGCTGGAGGGGGGTCTGTTCGCTCTGTTTGTGGCTGGGAGGGGGAGCCTGACAGTATCCACAGAGAAGAGAAAATATTACACTTACACTTGTCATTAGTGGAGGAAGACCTTTAGTCTTCCTTTAGACTTTTCTTGCTCAACATTTGACCAAATGAATACATTGTAGTCCCTATTAGTCACTTAAACATTGTGAAATATCGTCAAGGTTGAAAAGTTGTCCTTTAAGTAACTCTAAAATACCTTGGCTTGAGTTTGGAGGGACGGAGATCCGTTGCTGTATTTGTTGTGAAGAGGAAGACGATGAAGAGGAGATTGAGGAGGCATTTGCAGCGCTGGATCGGGGCCAGCCCAGTGTCCCGGGGGCCGAGCGGGGCAGGGAGCTGGAGGGGCAGTGATGCCCCGCCACCTGGTGGCTGGCACTGGGGTAAGTGCCATAACCAGAGGGAAGCTGGGGAGAGGGAGACGTGGAAATAAAGGACTGTTTTCATGATAACTGTCACTATTATCTCCCCATGTCTTTTGCAGAAATAGATCCTTACCTGTTCTGGACTGTTGCTCCTCCAATCTGACACACTCTTGCTCATGCTGGGCCATGATGCTTCATTAGCTAAACAGAGAGAGGAACATTTTAGATAAGGGACCAAGTTAAAACAAGAAAGGCAATTAAGGAGAGGAAAACATTTCAGATTAATATAAAAATATAATAAAAAGGATATTTCAATTGAAAATATTATAGAAAATGACTGCCACTAAACATTGAACAATCATTATGTAGATTCTGTAAGGAACAGGAACCCCAGTTTCATTTGTTTTTTTAATTGTCCATACTGTATGTTCCAAGCAAGTGGACCAATATCCAAAATGGTCTAAAACCGCTTGATTGATTGATTTTAAATGTATACCTTTGAACATTTTGTTCTGGGTTCTGGATGAAAATAGTCCACTGGCAATAAACACAATTATTCTATTGGATATAGTATGTATTTTTAAAGCTCAAACAAGGAGTTATCTGAACTGAGGATTCTAAAAAATACATGACAAAGGTCATTCTTCTTGGAAAGAAATACTACAACAAACCATAAAGGTGGGTAAACACAACATGATATGGGATCAAATGAGCTCTAACAAAGAGTACGGTTATATGGAAAAGTAAATGTGCTCTGCATTCCATGTGGGACTTTTATAATTTGTTTCTTTTTGTGTGTGAGCTGATATTTTATTATCATCTCATTATACGGCTCTGGTCTTTATGTGTATCTCTTGCTTCAGAGGAAAAAGAGGATACAGAGATACAAACAGGGAGACAAATGTCAAAGAACAATATACGATAAAGACCGTTAAAGTAGGTAAAAGGTGGCACAGAGTTAGAGTCACAGCAACTTTAATATGAATGAAATTAGATCATATATGGAGGAATTGAAGAAAAGAAGGGAAGCTAAATGGACGCTAAAGAGTATTTTACAGTCACTGCTATTTACAGTAATCCCTCCCATACAAATGACTCAAATAAAAACATATTATTATGCTAAGATGTCATTTATTCCAAGAACAACATAAAACGTTCCAGCTGTCATGCTCCATTATCTAGTACAACATAACAATGATGAAATATTTGAAACAGATTCAATTGTCTCAACATAGCAAAGAGGCTAGAAAGAGTGTTAAAGCACCTAACTTGTTTTTTTTGTTTGACCTCACTTACTGAAGGATTATTTGAATTATTTGAAGTATTAAAGTAACGTGTTATGGCAGGAAAGTTAAATCTGGTATATTCATTTTAATGTCACCTTATATATATTCATGTGTGTTAAATTTGAAGGGACAAAGTATATTTTCCCTCCCCAATATATTGAGGTGAAGTCTTTGTGTTTAGAGAAGGATGGGAGCAGGGGACATCCTAATTTGGGGATAGCTCCAAGACTCTGGAATATTTCCCTCGTAAAATGCTTGGGGCAAATAGGTGTGTTTTCCATTGCAGTAAAATATATGTGGCACATGATTACTTCAACTAACCTTCTATGTCTTATTCTTATCAGTGTGCGGAGTACTAAATGAGCTCGACAAACATTGTGGAGAAATTAGCTTAAACATGTTTTTTCCTACCCAAATGGGAGCAGCCTTTTATAGACAGGAGACGAGAGAGCTGGCGGAGGGGACATTCTTCCCTAAGACATGTCAATTATCAGGGAAATCTACTTGTTTTCAATAGACGGGTGTGGTTGATTACTTCGTATTAATTAACAGTATG